ACTAATTTATTATTTCCATTTATATTTTTACTTGTTCATTCTTTTCATTTACTTCATTACCTCTTTTTACCTTTTCTAGTCATATTTTTACTTACCCTTAAAAAGGCTATTGTAGAATACGGGCAGAACAAGATATGTTACGCAGCAAATCAATTTTTGGTGTGAGGCCTATCAAAGGTTGTTTTGATGTGAGGCCTCCAGTGGCCTATAAAATAAAGTAATTTTTGGTCAAAGAAGTGACACTTTTTCGGTTTTTAACGAGAAAATTGAAATGCATCTTCAATCACCCAATATATCGTCTAACTTAGGTTAGATTATCACTTTTTAGTGTATTCTGGGACGTTATTTTTTGCCGTTAACAAACTAATGGAAGAACTATGCAACCACCCGCGTCTTTTGACTTAATTTTCAGCTTTTTCTTTTCCCAAAGAATATTCGGTGAAAATATACAGCTGACGGCCTTTCCAGCGTGTCAAAATATTGAATCTACAACACCTGACAAAGCTTTATTGGGCATATTGGTTCATCTCATTGGCATCAAAATTTCTGTATATTTTCAACAAGCCGGAGCTAAAAAAATTTAACAAATTTACCGTGCTCAGCTAGTGACTGGCGCCAATCTGTCTGATCAGAACCGGAAAGTCGATGTGCCCATTTGAACAGATCACGTAGTGTCATCAGACCATCACGTGCCGAGAAAACACCAAAAGTACTGCGTTGTGCTCGCAAATCAACAAAAACCGAGACCATCGCGTTTGCTGCCGATGGAGCTATGCCACAACTACAATAAAAGAATTGTCCACAGAACTGCAGGGAAGATAAAAATTAGCAAGTGATAATCAGTGATTTTGAATATTAAAAAAACAAAGATGATGAAATTATCGCTGTGAAGATGAATATAACTGGTATACGCATGCATGTTAGCCTTTTGATAAGAAATTCTGAAAGTACGAAAGCGTAGCTGCACCTGACAACGACCATTTGTGCCAACTCTTCGTAGGGAAGTTGATCGAATCGTAAAACAATGAAACGATTCAATAACGCGCGAGAAAGGCGCTTTCGACCAGCATACAAGCCCACTGGATTCTGTGTGGCAAACAGTCGAAACTGAGGATGAGCTTTCACAACAGTGTTGGTTTCAGCGACGTATAATTCCCGGTTGTCGTCCAAAAGCTGAAT